GGGGGGGGGGGGTGCTACAGCTCTCTGTATCCTTGATTGAATTGTTGATTGTAAACCAGGTTATCCAACCTTGCTGGAGGGGAAGGCATCATATAAAGGTGGAGGAATGAAATTTACAAGCACTATTCGCGTTCCATTGGTTTGATGAACTCTTTTTTTTTTAATTGGGAGGACTTGGATAGCAGCAAAACTAACCAAGATTGCAAAGTAATCTTGGTTAAATATGCACACTGGAACTACTGTCTTTTTTCACCCTTAAAAAATAAAGAGCAGTTATCTATTTCTCAAGTATTTAGAATGCTGTCAATTGCAGGAGGAGTCTGTACTGATAAAGTTAGTGGCGTTTTCCTCCTTTCACAAACTGTAAGGGCAGTAGAAGGGATAAGTTTGTTTGAGAGATCTACCCTTTCTTTTTGTGGGCATCTTAATCTCAGCAGAGATTTATGCTACCAGAGCTTTTTAATGGCTTCTGGTTCGCTTCCGAAGGCTCCTCTTCACCCACAAGAGGAATTTTGGTTGTTTCTCTAATAATCGTCAAATTGCATCTCTTCATTTAATTCTGTGCGCAGCAAACTCAGGTGGAGTAAATTCAGCTGACTCCTCAGAATAGCTGCCCTGTTTAAGAAGTAGCCAGCCTTGGGGAAATCTCTGGTATGGAACCGCAGCAGGAAGGCCTAGAAATTGAACAAAGAAACAAGTGCTAAGATTTCCAAGATGGTTGAGGGAAACATCAGAGAGGGATGTTTCTCTCACATCACAGTTTCAGAGTGTGGAATTCAGCAGCATGGAAATGACTTGGTATTTTTGCCATATCTTCTTAGGCCTCATGATTTATACCCCAGTTTTTGTGAAGCCTTGGGTACAGTCACAGCCGGAGTGCTAGATGACCCTTCCAAATTGCATCATACGGGATCTTCAGAATGGCAGAGCCCATCTCTTGGCCAGTTTGGACCAGAGGGATGCCAAATGCTTCAAAGTCAAAATGCCACAACCTCAGGATAGCTGTTTTGAGTTTCGTAGTGTACTTGTGAGGTCAGAACAGGAGGTTAGGGCTTGGGATATTTCAACATCAAACCATTTTGGGTGCCTTTTGCAGCTATTTGGAGGGTGTTCTACATTCTGCAGCTGTACTGATTTTGCTAATTTTGCCCTTATATCCCTAAATAGCTTCATTACTACAATATTAGTACTGGATAGTTGTATATGCATCACTGAGTCTCTGCAGTTACCTTAAAAAACACCATTTAAACACACACACACAAACCACCTGACTTAAGTTCAGGAACTTTCTGGTACTTAATTGAGATATTTTTCCATTGTATCTGGGTACCAAGGACACAATCCTAGAGTAGTTTCAAATTACAGAGTTGGTAAACTAACAGGAAATATTCCAGCCTCTGGGTGATTTTGGCTGGCAAGTCTACTTTGCATCAAGTAAATGAAATGTTCTATAACTGGAGTCCAAACTATTTTGTGGAGGAATTGTGTGTAAATAACCATACCAACATCAGCAACCACCAGGGCTGGAAAATCCCCCAGCAGAGACCTTGCAACTAGAGGGGCTGCCTTTTTGTAAGAACCTGTGTGTTGAGACGAACGTCTACTCCACACCTCAGCTGTTTTTTGCTTCATTGTTTGTTCCCCACCGCAAATTATAATAAAGGCCTTCTTCCTATGGAAAACTCGGAGAGCCATTTGATGAAAATCGCCGATGGGCCCACGGTGAGATTCATCAGTATTAAAAGGCACTTTTCTCCATCAGCACATCCTTAAATGATTGGCAGGGTTTCTTTTGTAGAATTCCAAAACTGGAGGAGTGGGGGTTATGATCATGTTAGGAATTTCTGGTTTTGCCCTCAAGGAAAGGTTTAACAAGGCTTTTGCAAGCAAGGGCGGTGGGAGGGAGACTGCAATTGTTTTGGACATCTGAATTCCACTCTAATAAGATGCTCCAGGTGGCTTGGGAGTAATCCTAAAATAGCTGCCGCTCTTAATTGCTTCTGTAAAGTCAGGCATGCTGTGATAGCTAACTAGACTGAGTAGGTGTGTTTGTTGGGGAGAGATGAAGGGGAATGTTGCCAGCGGCTTTTGAGGTGCCTTGAGGACTTAAACCAGCTCTCCTCCCCTTTAGAACAGCACATTTCAGAATCCTTATTTGGAGTCATCGGTCCTTTATAGCTGATCGCAAAGGAGGCACATGCCCTTGCACACCGTTTTATGAAAACCATGGTGATTTCCACCCAGTCTCGATCAGAGACACAATAGAATAAAATGCGTTTTGTATCGGAATATCCATTCAGGTAAAATACCCAAGACGTCTACAGCAAATAGCTTGCAACCGTTAACAGGATGAGTTGGGGACAAAGGCTATGAAGGCACAAGAAGGTGGGGGAGAGAAAAGGAGTTCCAGTACTTGCTTAGGGTTGTTTTTTTTTTAAGGGAGGAAAAATGCAGCTAGAATAAATGTTAAAAAAAAGGGGGGGGCAGGAAAGAAATGGCTGATTTCAGTTGGCTGATGCTAGGGAGGTATAGGTAAATTATCCTGCTGGCTTTGGAAAAGAGTAAATACTGTAGTTCTTTCTTGTCCCAGAATCTCCCACCATCACTAAAAAGTGAGGGTGACGGTTTAAATTGGCAGTTTTTAATAAAGGTTCTCATTGGAGGGAATGCATTACCAAAACAACTCCCCAACTGGTTATTGTCACAATTAAAATAAAGTGGTTTGAAAGTAAATATAGTAGAGCTTTGAAACAACAATTCAGAGTTACTGACCAGACAGTCCCATTTTTTTTTCACAGTGCAGAGACGATTTATTTGCAGTGGCAGAGAGGGCATTGTAAAATTGATAGAGTTTTACTCAGTTTCCTATATGTATACAAGAATGCTAAGAATGGTCACTTCCTTGAAGAGAAAGCCAGAGCTGATTTTTGTAAAACTGGTCATTGGGGAAATGTTTTTGCTCCGTAATGAGATATAAACAGCAACAGTGTTTATTTCCCATCATAAATATTTGAAATATGCTGTCATAATAAAGGCAGCGTATGGCCAGTTGCAATGTATATATGATAAAAGATTTTTTTGTGTGTCTTGGGTAAAAGAAAATCCCAGAAATGTAAATGTTAATATGATGTGATTGTCATAGGAGAAATTAAATCATGCTGTTCCCTAAATGAGGGAAGAAAGAGGTTCCTTTTTATTTCTACCCCAGCTCCAATTGATGTTTCATTATCTGTACCTTGTAACCAGCTTTGTGTGACCAGGTGGCTTGTAGGACTGGATTCATGAGGATGGCATTTTGGAAAGTTGGTTGGCCAGTATTGTAAGAGGGCGAATGGCCAATTCATTTAGGTGGAGAACCTTTAGATGTCCTGCTACAGACAAGATGTGTATCTGTAGCTCTTTCTGAAGGTGCTACAAGAGAGGCAACAGCTGACCTAACAGAAGTGGCAATAATCCTCCATTAAATATACTTTGGCTGATGGGCCTCACTAGATAATTGACTTTTCAGCAGGAATTACTGGCTCAAATGAAATCAGCAAGCTTTAAGGCAACCTGTGCCATTCAAAGGGTTTGGGGTGGGGGGATGTCATACTGCCTGTCTCTGAGCTATTCATCTCTGTAATTCAGTGTGTGTGTCACTACCAGATGACACTAAACAGTAGACCTTAAAGTGGCTCTAATTAAAAACTGTTTTTGTTTGGAAATCCCTCCCTGAATTCAGTGGCTTTTCATCTGATTTAAGATCCTGTATGCTCACCACCAGATGGTGGGTAGGACATCTGAACCAGCCATTGGCATTTGACCTTACTGGTTTTGCTTTCTGCCTGTTGCCCAGGCATTTTTGCACTGTGATGTTTGCAGTTGGGATGGCTATAGTAGTGGCCCCTTCCATTCCCACAATTGTTAGAAAACCAGCACGACTCTTTTATATCCTCCTGGTCTGACTGCCACTTGGGCTGTGATATAAGTCCCCTGTGAGAATGGAGCCTGATGGAATGACTGCTGCTTCTTAATCCCATGAGGTCCAGGATTCGTATTTCATAACAGTTGACTATGTTCAACTTCACAGTCACTTCAAGCATCTCACCATCTGGCTAGAATCCAGAGAACAGTGAGTAGGAACAGAAAAATGCCATTTCATGAGCCTTTCTGCAGATAATAGCAAAGGACATAAATCAGCAAGGTGCTTTGGTGAACCAAGATTCATTGTTCATTGAATAAGCCATAGTTGGTTTGGGTCACGTGTTAAGCTGTGAAGCATAGTTTACTTGCTACAATCATGTTTTCATCAAATATGCTAAGCCCAAACCCAACAAACTGGGTTATGGCAGAGCTTGATATGGGAGTCCACCATCAATCTAGTATTGCATTAATGGCATTCTCCAGAAGCTTTGGATCTGTAGTTTTCAGAATTTCCACTGATTGGCCATGGTGGCCAAAATTGCATGCCCCAATAGGGAAGACTGAGTTATAGCATGAAAAACTGTGAAACTCTGGGAATTGGTACATATACTAAAGTGGGACACAAAAAAGGAATTGGAAATCTTGTATCAATGTATGCAAATGAAGGCATTCCTTGGGATGTAAGGTTGCTTTTATCATACAAAGTGCTCTTCCATAAATCAGGAACTGCCCATCTGTGAGCAAAAGAGCTCCAGTTTATGTCAGCTCAAGTGGTTGTAACAATTAACAGAGATTCCTGTTTGTTAACTTAAATGCTTTCTCTGTTGGGAGTGACCCAGTGGTGTTCTTACCTGCTCTTTTCTTTTAATAGCTGTCTGGTTTTGGTTTTCTTCCTCTTCAGAATGGGAACCTAACTTGGAGCGAAGAAGCTGACAGTAGCAGGGGAAGAGAGGTGTCCCGAGACTTTGCCAAGGTCAGTGCAACAACTTAGCTTTGATTGTATGCTCAAATCTGGGCGGAAATGACATTTGAGTCACTTTCAGCAAATGAACATTGCTATCACGAAAACTCTACTGCCTGGGATGGTTCTGCAATCTGAAGGGAGTTTGAAAAAGAAGCCTTGCCATTCTTTCAAACAGTAACATGAGCTTTTCACAGAGGAAATGGATGTTTGTTAGAAGAAGGCTTGGATTCCTTCCAGACCAGCTTCTATAGATATCTTGCTTTGGCCAGGACACGCTGGGCTGATCCATCCCTTATCTAGATTTCTTAGCTCGTAATTTTTAGTACCTCTTAATTATAGCCCGGACTTCAAATCCATCGTGATTTATTTAGTAAAATGACGATACGTTGTGGCAGAGCCATTGATCTGGACATTCCTTTGCCTATGATGGCCTTGTGCCCTATTGTTTAGGACATTAGTTTTCTTTATAGCAGCCACCTCCTCCAGTCCCTACATCCATTTCAGAAAACTGATACTTGCTGCAACATTAGCTTCCAAGGAGCTGGTTTCCAGATCCACATAATCAGTGGTTGGAATGCAAGCTCCCTTTGTCACTACCATGATTTTACCTGAGGCTGCATTGATCAGGAGCTTCCAATCTTTTTCTGTTGCTTTGTGTGTCTTTGGGGGCTTCCATCTGAGTTGAGTTGCTGTTTTCTACCCAATGAGTATGCCTGTGAAACTTTGTTTTCCCTTCTACACCCAGCCTAAATTAAATTGTTCTTGCTTTATTCCACAGTTGTATGAATTGGATAGTGACCCTGAACGGAAGAAATTCCTGGATGATCTCTTCGTTTTTATGCAGAAGAGGGGTGAGTGGGATTTGCCTTATTATGGCCTGAAAAGGGGAAATAAACATGTGCCTGCTTGTTCTGTACGCTGGAATTAGAAACTGTGGAAAAGCTGCTTTGTGAGTTGGCTTCCATTATTATGGGAGTGGGAGGGAAAAGGGAATCGTTACTTTTTCTTCCAAGGATATAAGGTAGCACCTCTGTTGAATAATAGGTCATAAGGATAATGTTTGTTCCATCTTCCTCAGTATCCAGCTTGGAGTGAAATATTATTGAGCAGTAAATAAGTATTGCTTACTCTAACAAAAATGTAAATCTCTGTCCCTAAACAGTCTAAGTTTGGCAGAAAAGGGAGCAGCGAGGGAGGAACAGACATTACTAACTCCAATTATTCACATTTGACTTGCATTGCAGTTCAGGGTATGTGAGAAGAGTTGTGCAGAACCAGACCAGAGGCTCTGGCTCAGAGTTCTGTTCTCACAGTGGCCAAGAAGCTGACAGTAGGAAGCTCACAGGATATGCACACAGAAGTACCCCCTTTCTCTCTCACACACTCACACAAGCGTGTGTTCCTCAACAACTGATTTTGAGAGGCTGGTTGCCTCTGACCCCAGAGACAAAACCTGTCTGCTATGATTAGTAGCCATAGGTAGCCTTCTCCCCCACAAATTGATATAATCTCTCTTTCCAGCTGTAGGAGTTGGCGGCCCTTTCTGCCTCTTGTGGCAGTGCTTCTACCAAGGGCTGGGTTTCTACCATCCAATGAAATGCTTTGTTTTGTCTCTTCTGAATCTCCCACCCTCTTTCAGCTTCATTCTGCGACTCTTTTTTTTTTCCTGACTACTTTGTCTTAATCACCAGGTAATGGACCTTTATTATTGTCTTGTTTATCTACAAAGCATTATTTCAGCTCCTCTGCACTCTCCTGATTCTCTTTTATCTCTCGTAATGCCCTTGGAATCCAATGGGCTTGATGAACGGATGGTAGTCCATGTGGTTTTCTTAGCAGCAGTATGAAACTGGCTTTCTATTGCTCTCTTCTGGAATGGTGTTCAACTTTCCAGTCTAGCTGACAGCCCCAGAATTTCCAGGTGGCCCTATTCAAGGACTGACCAGCCCTGATCCGTTTTAGTGCCCAAGCTCAGGTGTGAGGTGCAAAAGCTTGTCCTTGGTAGGAACATTGCCACAATCAGGTCAATTTTAAGTCCCATCGAAGCCTGAACACAAAACATTAAGGTTGTGAAGAGAGCTGAGATGTGTTTAAATGGCCTGCCTATCTGTCTTTCAAACTCATCTGTCTTTGAACTAAAAATGGATTGAAAAATCAATCCAGTCTCCTTGATTGTTAAAGAAACCGAAATGAAGATTGGACATTCAATCAATAAATAAAATTAAAAATTAAAAAATCAAACTTCAGGAGAGAGGGAGCTCTCATGTAGTTGCAACTCTCACACACAGGCCAGTTTTATCATAAAAAGAAAGTCTTTGTGGTGTTTATGTTGTTAATTTGGCTGGATGCCTCCTTGTGATAACTAACAAGACACAAGAGAAAGACAAAATCATCTCCACTCAGAAAAAGTATAGGTAGAAATATTTACTCTTGAATTTTAAGATTCCATTTTAATTCATTAAATATTAATGATTATTTTTCAATGTACATTGCCTGTAAATAATTTGTTGAGTGATTTATTGTCCTGAAGGTGTGATAGAAATAAATAAGTAGTTGCATGTTGGCATATTTGGCAATAAAAAGAGAATGTGGATGAACTGAAATCACTGTAGAATTGTGCAATTGAGATTCTGTTAGTGGCTGAGATAGCTAAGACCTAGTTTCACTGACATATCCTTAGATCAGCATTTCCCAGATGGATACCAGCAGCCATGCTAGCTGGGAGTGATGAGAGTTGTAGTCCCAACCGGTCTGACCACAAGTTAGGAACAACTGTGTTAGATGTGGGAATGACAGGGATGCAAAACCTGGAACCAAAGTATACCCAAGTGTATATATTACCGCAGTCTTCTCTTTGGATATTTGCTAGTTTCTGATAATATATAATTCTTAAAGAGTGAATATAAGGTAGGAAAAAGGAAGGGATCAAATGGAATTTAGATCAACGGGTTATATAAGATCCATTATGAAGAAATGTAATCTGTGGCAACTACTCCCGATCCTTCCTTCCTTCCTTCCTTCCTTCCTT